TGAAGATAAGGATGTCTTCCAGAAATTCTACTCGAAGATGCTTGCTAAGCGACTGGTGCATGTCAGTTCGGTGTCCGATGACGCGGAGACTAGTATGATCAGCAAGCTCAAGGAGGCCTGTGGTTTCGAGTACACCAACAAATTGCAGCGTATGTTCCAAGATATTCAGATCTCAAAGGATCTCAACGCCAGCTACAAAGATTGGCAAGACAAGGTTCTTGATGACGACGATCGGAGGAAGCTGGTGGATGCACACTTCCAAATTCTTGGAACTGGATTTTGGCCTCTTCAAGCTCCGTCGACGGACTTCCTTGCGCCACCAGAAATCGTCAAGACGGCTGAGCGATTCCAAAACTTCTACTTTGACAAGCATAACGGTCGGAAGCTGACATGGCTTTGGCAGCTGTGCAAAGGCGAAATCAAAACTAACTACATCAAAAACACAAAGGTACCTTATACTTTCCAAGTATCAACCTTCCAGATGGGTATTCTTCTCCTTTTCAATGAGACCGATACTTTAACGTACGAGGACATTCAAAAAGCCACCACTCTTGCTCCTGAAATTCTTGAGCCAAACTTGGGTATCTTCCTCAAGGCGAAGGTACTTACCATCAGCCCCGAGGGGTCCAAGCCAGAACCTGGCACCTCGTTCACCTTAAACTACAACTTCAGACATAAAAAGGTCAAGGTCAACCTCAACATTCAGATCAAGTCGGAACAGAAGGTCGAGTCGGACGATACACATAAGACTATAGAGGAGGATCGTAAACTGCTGCTTCAGGTATGTTGCAGAATTCCCCAATTTCCGAGTCACTGTCTAACATATATACAGTCCGCCATCGTGCGCATCATGAAATCGCGCAAGAAGATGAAGCACGTCCAACTAGTCCAGGAAGTGATCCAACAAGTCAAATCCCGCTTCCCACCTAAGGTACCCGATATCAAGAAGAATATCGAAGCCCTCATGGAGAAGGATTATATAGAGCGCTTGGATGGTGATGAGATCGCTTATATTGCATAATTTTAGAAAGTTTTTCCGTCATTGTCCCCTTCCCAATCATTTCTATGTTAGCGCCGGTTCTCGCTGGTTTCCCTTCTATTTCCTTTCTTTGTTCAATGGTTTTTTTTTTTTTTCTCACTGTGGCATACGGCTTTCATTCATAGGTCAAGGATAGGAGTCTTCTGCTTTCGTAGCACCGGTATGACGAATGATAACCCACTATATCAACAAGGATTGGATTTTCCCATTTTGGTCCTTTTTTCTTGTAACGCTTATGTTCGGAAATTCGAAAATGATTGAATAGACATCTATTAGTAACAACAAGTAATGTTCATGCCACGAGCTCTATAATGGTATGCATAATATATCTTAAATATTCATATCCAACCGTTGATGCATTCAGAAGATGCAGGATATATTAGTTCACATGTGAGAAGGCAATTGTATCAAGGAACATCGTATATGCATTTTCGAATATTAAAAAGGAGAATATGATATATGCTGAGAAGCAACAAAAGGTAACAATAATACAAGCTCTGTCCTTTCCCGGGTATCAAAGCTTCGAAGCGTAAATGATGATGGCGAATAAACGATATGCAAGAAGTTTGTTTTTATGCATGGGGCGAATGATTAGGTTGAGTTTATATAATGGGTCAAAATGAAAAAATATTCATGCGATCGTGTTCCTGTCGTTTGTTAATAGATTATTGGCTTTGTGGAGCTTGTTCTGCGGTGGTGGGTGCTTCGTTTTCAGTCTTGCTCTCGGTGGATGCTGGCTCTTCTGCTATGGTATCCTTTTTATCGATGGTGGTCTGGGGCTTAACCGAAGGCTTGGGCTGCTCAGTTGATGCGTCGGCAGTGGTGGTAGTATCATTTCTCTCATTGGGCTTGTGGATTTCGCTTGTGCTGCTGACCTGAGCTGCTGCGGAGGCCTTCGCCTCTGCAGATGGCTGTTCGGTTGGGTGCGACGGATCGTCATTAGCAGGGACCTCGTTCGATAGCTGCGAGCGTGTATTGGCAGTGTCATATTCGCCACCGTCACCATCATCCTTGCGGTTGGGTGAGCCATACTCGCCGCTATCCCGTCTCAGGAAAATGTTGCTCCATCTCTTCCTTCTACTTCCGCTGCGAGACAAAGTAATGGAGTCTTCGCTGCGGCTTGCCTGCATTGATCGTCTACCTCTTTCCGGCAGGTCGGTCTGCTCTGCGGTACCCGCCAATGTCGGGGTCGATGGTGAGGTTACTGAAGATGGAGAGGATGGGGTTTTACTTTTGTCCTGCCATTCCTTTCGCTTTTCGCTAGCCCAGGTACTCCACGAATTCAAATACGCCCCTGCCCTTTGACCAGCGGCACTCACGGATGCCTGTGCTTGAGTAATGTCCACGGAAGGAGCCTTGCGAGCGCCGAACCAAGAGGAACCACTAGTGGAATGCACAGATGCTGTATCAGACGGTGAAAATGGAGGGGAAGAGCCCTTGTCAATTGAGGACCGTTGTGACTGGGGAGTTCTCTCTTCATTCTTTTTCCGCTGTGCTTCTCGCATCGCTTCGATATCGGCCCAGAAGTTGTTGAATGCGGCGGTTACTTTCTTTTGGCCAGTACTGATATGCCTATTGAGCGCCTCGCGGCTTTCCCGTACCCGTTCATCCAGATGAAGATCCGCGACTTGTTGTGATAACCGACGTTGAACATCGTCCATAGTGAGACCTCCGGCACAAGGATGGCGAGGCTCGACAATGGAGTACAACAGTGCATCGGAGGTCAGGTGTTTGAAAAGCGCATAATTAGAAGTGTTTTGCCATTGTGCCAGAAACTCGGCGTTGAATTCCAGCGCAGGGTCGCCTTCTATGTTAAATGCTTCCAATTGCTCTTTGCTCCTGCGGCCTGGGTCACCCGCATTGAAGGAATCCAGCTCCTCATGGTATTTCATGCATGAAAGCAATGCCAGCAGATACTCTTCGAATTGTAGCCTGATAAATTCTTCAGAGCCCATATACCCGTGGGTCTTGGGTTGTTCCGGGTGCGCCTCGTCCCACGTATCGTTAATAATCTGGGTAAGAAGGTCGATCCAACGTCTGTCTGCGACAGATAGTGCCAGTGCATTTCGTAGAGAGGGGGACGTGATATTAATGGTGTCCTCGTCAAGCTGCAGATCTCATTGCGTAAGTAACCGAGTTGTCAAACTGGAGCAGACGTTCCCTCACGTTGATTAAGATGTCACTATAGCGATCTTTCTGTTGTAGAAGTAACGAATTCGTAGAGCCAACTACATATGACTTCGTGCCGTGATCCGCCAGCAGATCCAGTTGCTGTAGAGGCGTGTAAGGTCCGAACATGCTCCCCTGCAGAAGTTAGAACATAACGTGGTCTTTGATCCATGGCACGAACCTTGCCAAAGATTTGGAGCGGCAATCCCATATACGCCAGCACTATTAGAATCAGTATGAGATATAATCGAAGGTAGGATTGTTACAATCATACGAGAACTTCTGTCGCTTGTCTTCAGAGTGGTAGGCTTCTCAACAGTCTTCGTATAGCTTTCGAATGCTGGGTCTGCACAGTCTTGAAGGTAGTTTATGAGGCCAGGTATCAATGAAACGAGGGAGAATTGTATCATGCATAAACGCTCGCATCTTGAACCAAAGAAAAGCATCTGAGCTCAGTCAGTATCTTGTACGATGACCAACTAGGAACTACCAACCTTGGGCTGCAGGAGTAAGGCTTTGAACAGGACCAGAGTTTGATACTTAAACTCATGGATCATTTCCCGCAGAGACAGTCCTGTAGGCTGGTCAGCAACAAAGATCGAGTGCTCTATGTAACTGGACTCACCAAGATTTTGATCCTTGAAACTTTCATCCTTGTTCAGATTCATGACTAGGCTTTCTCGAAATTTCTGAAGCATGTCAGCACTACTGGGGACCAATGGACAATGCCAAGCCGCAAATGAAAAAGAACAAAAACATACCTTCAAGATATCGATATCGGAGAAATCCCTGTTCTCGTCCGTATACGCATTAGTTAGAGATTCCCCCACACCTGGGTAGCGAAGAGCCACCAGCTAGCATATATAGTGGTACCAACATACCGCTGCGCGAACCAAGCAGATGTTACTATGGACAATTTCTCTCTCAGCTGGCCCAGGCTCTGGGGGCTATCTGTGATGACAACAACTGCCTTCTGTACTGTGGATCTTGTCACATCGGATGGTCGGTATAGGAGCAAGTTCGAATCGATTTGTCTGGAACAAGATATGCCAAAAAGGGAAGTTGCAGGCTCCGTGGCGGTCTCCTTTCGGCGGAGTGTAAAATAAGAGAACTCCTCGGTCGACCTGGAGGGCCAGAATTCGCGTCAATAAATGAATGCGCGCTTAAGCAGATGCTGTAACTTGGATGGAGCGTATTGGGGGTAATAAACATCGCCGTACATATGCGCCCCGTCTGATAAGGCCATGAATGGTAACAAACTCCAGTCATTCTTCACCGCGGGATCGGTTCCATCTTCTCCAAAGCACAGTTCGATTTCGGGGCCCCTACAGGAGACAGAAAATGATAGATGTTAGCCAATGGGCCCAGAAAATGTGGCGCAAGGACAAAAGATAATCCCGGGCTGTGCTATGCAGAAAGCCCCGAGCACATACAAGCGCAACCGAAGAATGACATGAACATGATTCTGGTACTGCGAATTGTGCGGTCTCTGCCTATCTCGTTCCCTTTCTTGTTCCCGCATTCTCATCCAATTACTCACCTTGCATGATGAAAGTCTATGACCATAACAATAGGTGCCTGGCGACTTGGAACACTAGCCATGGTGTGGTGTGGAACTGCAGCGGTGCCACATACAAAATGACCAAAACAAGGAACGATTCGAAGCCAATTTCTCTCTGAGAGTAGGGGCTACCCTCCCGGGAAAGAGTGTTAGGGAGATACGGGTAGCCTCAAAATAGATACAACTAAGAATGAATCAAAGGAGGACCTCAAGCTGAAGACTGATGGAAATTGGAACCAGGGGGGAACTAATGAATTGGTTCATTGGGTCCCGCGGCGGGCGGTGACAAGCTGGCGGTCGATTAAATTTGCCAACTGGAGACATTAATCCCCCCACCCCGTGTTTTAAGTCCGACTAGTCCCCATAATTCAATCTGCGGAAAGATAATTAAACCATAAGGCTGATATTTGGGATCTCTGCCACCGGAGCACCACTTACAACACCCATGACCAACCAAATAATTAGCGCGATGAATGACCAGCAAAATTGTTCTAATGGTTCGATTTGCCTTCAGAGTATCCCTCAAGCACCAACTAGTTCATCATTCATGGTTCACGTGTAACTTGTATATAAGGGACAAGAAACCAAAAGAGAAAGGGAAAATCAATGCCATAAATGATTTTCAATCCCCCCGATTCTAACAACGTCATGAGAAAACCACAGTTCCTGAAGGCATAAGCGCCTCGGAATTTGCAAAACAACCACGTGACAGTGAATGAGAAAGTATCCGTAGATGTAAAGATATCACAGCCTTCATGCCCAGTCTACATACCAAACAAGGAGAACAAAAGAAAAAAGAAGAGAATAACCTCAGAAACACGCTGCACTATTGCCTGCGCCTCGTCCGCGAATTAAGGAACCCGATTATACAAAATTTTGCTGGGCATCGCCAGCTCCCTCAACGAGGACTTGACTCGCCGCCTCGGTACCCTGATCGATATTATGGAAGTCGAGAATTTCCGAGTACCTAGGGGTCTCTAGATTAGCTTGGCAACCACGTCATTGCATCCAAGAGGTGCTTACATCATGATCTTCCAGGTGTCTACAGGTAGGTCAGCATCATTGAATGACCAATCGAACTTCTCCTCTGCCACAGGCTCATCGGTGGGGTCGTGGTACGGAGCAAGGTACTCGTGCGCCAGCGCCTCGCCCGCGCGGATTCTCTTCTTCGGGTCAAATACCAGCATCCGTTCGAGAAGGTCAACCGCTGTGCGTTGTTAGCATCTGATGGCGCTTAATCCCCATTGAACGGAATACATACCATCCGGGTCGGCGTTCTTGAATTTGGTGGCGAGGGGTTGACGCTCGCGCTTGGGAAGAGACTTGACAAATCGCAAAGTCTGTGGCCAATGTTAGCAGTGGCTCCACATGGCCTATCGCATGGTTACTCACATTCTCACTGCAGATTGTCTCAATCACATCATCCGGTGGGGTACCAAGGAGTTCTGTGATAATGGAGAATTGGTTCACATGATCCTTGCCGGGGAACAGAGGCTTTCCTTCCAGCATCTCGGCGAAAATGCAAGCGGCGCTCCAGATGTCCACCTCCACATCATACTTTTGCCATGTGAGCATAATCTCGGGCGCACGGTAGTATCTCGTCGACACGTAGCCTGTCATCTGAGGGTCTTGAATACGGGCGAGACCAAAATCGCAAATCTTCAGGTCGCAGTTCTCGTTGATAAGGATATTACTCGGCTTAAGATCGCGGTGCACAACGCCTGCTGAGTGCACATATTTAAGTCCTCGCTGTAGAGAATTAGCATCAAGCCCACCTCGCCTGGAGGAGCCTGTCGCAGCCACACACCAAGATCTGGTATAAGAAATACTGGATAAACTGCTTCTCCAACGGCCTTGATGTGAGCAGTCGGTGGAGGTCGGTACCCAGGAGCTCGGTTACGAAATAGCTGTGCCGATCGGTTAGACAATAGGTGTCCCTCTTAAAGTTGGTAGAAATCGTGCATACATGTCTTCGAGGGGAGAAATAAAAATATCACTTAGGCTGATGATCTAGTCAGAGTCAGCGTACGGAGCGATGCAGCCGTATTCGGGTAAATTGACCGACATTTTCGTGGCGCAAGTGCTTCAATAGTTTCAGTTCGCGGTATGTTCTCTTAGACAAGACTGGGGTACTGAAAGGTTTCATAATCTTCTTAACAGCGACGGGCTGTCCGGTCAATTGGTCCCTCGCCGAACTAATTTCCCGGGGCAAAGCGTGTCAGCGCATGGTCCATATGAGGGGTTGGCGGTAACGGCGAATCTAAAAGGAGGGGCTCTGGGAACATACCACACGAGGCCGAACGCACCCATGCCCACAGGCTGCAGTTCTGTGTACCTGCGAAACTGTTAAAAAAGAACCGATCCCATTGCTTGAATTCAATGGTCTCAAGAGACACCAGTACCTGCTTGTGATCTCAAAGGTCGTGCCGAAGATCTGGGCACGCACGAATTCCGCCATTTTGGATTACAGACGAATGTAACTCCAAGATTCGGGGAAAAGGGACAGAAATCGGAATCCTCTTGATTTGCTCAGTATATGAGACAAGATGGTTAAAGAAAGGGAAGGGACAGGAGGAGTGTGTAAAAGAAACGAGAGTGAAATAGAAAAAAAAAATGGAGATAGCAAATGGAGTTGGAGTAACAAGACGAATAATAACACTTTTTTGGCAGTGAGGAAGGAAGCAGAGAAACCGTAGGTGGCGCCCAAGAAGGTATGTGGGGAAAAAAGGAAGTCTCTCTCAGCCCGTTGACTTTTCAAAAGTCCGGTAAGAACCAAGCCAGACCGATGACGTTCGCGACAAGAAAGTAGGGTATTGCAAAAAAAAAAAAAAAGGGTCGGAAGTGGGAACACTGGTGTACAGCAACCACGAAGACTTTGGCCCTCCACGCGGCCTGTCTAGACCATATGCCAACTAGCATTGGCCGGAAGATGATTCCCAAATTCAGGGAATATCGCCCATCACGCTTACATAACCGGGTGAGGCACGGACGAGAGGGGCATTGGGACCTGGTATTGGCATTTGTCTCTCTTATTTTGGATCCTCGTGGGGTTCTTTTTTCTTTATGGGATTTGCTTTGCTACAGAGTACAGAGTATAATGCGTGTCCTGTCGGTTCGACGCCATAGATTAACATATTAATGAGTGACAGCTTTACGAGCATTGTCGTTTCCCTCGCCATGTTCAGCTCCCATAGCACGTGTCCATGGTGTTGAGTTCGTCCCTCCTCCATGAACGTCGCAATCGGTCCGAAAGGGCAAACAACAAAGACCGAAGAGGAATCAGGGGTCTCGAATGGTTGAAGATCTAAAATTCTGCATCGACCATATTTAGATGTTGATTCGTCAAGCGTTCGGGATTTCATCAATTATGTCATAGCGGGTAAAAGAGTACTCCGTACAGTGCCATGAGGCAGAAATTAAGAGAATGAAAAAGAAAAGCAAAAATAAAAGTGACCCCTTGTTTTGCAACGCACCAATTGCAACAGAATATCTAGCAGCAATGATTGATTATCATGCAATTTCCCAGAATGAAAGTCCCTACTGCCTATACCGGTGGTGATGTAGGTAGGTACCTAATACGTCAGGCGTTGCTTCCCGCAACTTACAGCAAGCATTTGCTGTCTCGATGTCATCATAGCCTGTGGGGTGCGGATCTGCTGCTAACCTTTTCCAACTACTCCATGCCGGCTGTGTAATTATTCCACATAAACTGCTTCCTGCCCATCCAAAACAAAAATGGAAAAGGTTCCGGCGAGAACAAAAAAAAAAAAGAGAGAGAGAGAGAATCCTTTAAGGGGATAATACAACTTTGATCGTCCAATAATCATATAAAAATCACAAAATATATTCTCCCATAGTACTATTGAAGTAGATCGCGATCTAGTCAGATTTGTCATATTATCACACAACTTAATCGGGGTTATATATATATCTCACTTTCTTTGAAGCATCACCCCCTTCCCAGGTTGCTTGATCTGTACCCAGCATATTGGATAACCCCAGAGCCATCATCGGGAATTGATTGAGGCTCGCCTCCAATCATCAATGACCAGAATTCCGATAGTCCACTGCAGTCTACCAAGTACTCCGTATATGGCGGAATAAATACACACGTCTCTTTTCGCTGTCTCCCAATTGAAGTAACAATTAAGGTCTGAAGAATGCCCCTTTTCTTGACGATTCTCGACATGTGTGAGCTCATCTATATGTATCTACATGTACATGCAAGGTGTCGCTAGGAGGACAATATAAGTTAACGCTACTGTGGGTAAAGAACATTGCATAACGCACAAGGTTATTCGGGTTCAAAAGTAAATCTATTCCAAATCCCTCTTTGTCCCGAAAAGGCGCCATCCCTTCGTGTTACGCCTAATCGGTATATTTGTGGCTTGTCACTTACACTGAATGCGCTCCATAGTCCGACCTTGTGTGCTCTGTCCTTTTAGTAGGACGACCTACTGTAAGTTAGGTGTGTTTAAGAGGAATTATCTCGCGAATCCTATGAAATTTGGTACGCTACCTGTACTTTCACCGTCGTCGGGGTTATAGGTCAATTCTCCAATCAGCATATAGTGGGACATAGCCCCAGTCATGACATTCCCTTAGAGGAAGTGTGCCCTGCGCCTTCCGTGGCTATGTATGTATGGACAAATGGTCCGTTCACTGGGTGGAGCGGATACTTAAAAGCACAGGAGTACAGCATGCCATTGTGTTGAGTTGGACAGGAACTGAAGTAGACAGGTGGAGAAATATTATTTTAAAACAATAGTATTTATTTTTCTCTCCTTTGGCCTGCAAATTGGTTTTGTCAACAACAGCCAGGGGTGAGAAAGGGAGCGGACAGGTCGGAGGACAAGTGAAAATCATGGATGGTGGCGTCCGCCAATCCCTGGGCAAAAAAATACCTGCCTGACTTTCCCGTCAATGGATTCAGTAATCGCCGTTCGAATGATATGTTACTAAGATAATATCATAATTTTTTTTATATATTTTTTTTGTCAAAAAAAAAAAAAAAAAAAAAAAAAAACTCATGTCAGTTGCTTATCACAATCCAACAGGGAGGTTAACTATGTAGGTAAGTATGTAAGTATGCACTGTGCTTTTTTTATAGAACGTACATATATCCTGACATGAATTACCGCCAGAATGGTACCTCGAGATCACATTGAGGTGGGACACAAGGGACGATGCTTGGTATATGTCGCAAGATGGAGATTGAAACACAATAATATTACCCACGGACCCTTATAATACCGTGAAGGAAGAGGTTCCTATGAACGAGTAACACCCTGAGAATGGGCCATCATTACCTAAGCTCCTAGCTCAATGAATGAAAATGGAGGTATCTTAGCGTCGAATCCTGGGCTCCTTTCCCCCCATAATTACCGTCACAACCCTTCATCTTAGTCTTGTCCCATGCCATCCCACCGCCTCAAATCTTTGTCGGTAAGCTTCGCCGGTCCACGTTTTACCACTTATCCACTTATTCCCGTGGGTAGAAGGTACGATCTAATACTCTGTAAGGTAAAGTCGGTAATACGGGGACTCCTCTCTTTTCTGCCATCTCCACTCCCCATCTGTCTATAATGACGATTAGGGAACATCCGCCCATTGAGAATTACCATCTGTCTCAACCACCCCAAGCAACTGTTCATCGTCATAAAAACAGCAGCAGTATCTCATTCCTACGATCCTTTCTTTTCCTCTTCCCTTCCGTCTACTCTCTTTTCATGACTTGATCAACATTCTCCTATACGTTCGCTTTCTGATTCTTTCCTCGTTTTTCTTACCCCGGTTCCCTTTATTCTATTTTTTTTCTTGCCTCCCTGACCGAACGGGGGTGATTACTTTAGTATTGCTTACATTATCTCACTCGAGATCCGTCCACTTTTCCCACATCATCCCCCGATCGACCTTTGCTACCCTTTTTTAGCGTCGGCTCGTCAGTCTCACACGTCTTCTTGCTCCGCAGTTAATCCAGTCGCCCCTCATCCTAACTCAACTTATTAACCCAGACATATTGAGTACGATCAAGGCGCTTGGACTTCTGCTTCCTTTCCACCGGTGCCCTCCATCGCCCTAGTTTCACCTCCTGCGTCACGAGCATCTGATCTCCGCCCCCGGGATCTCGCAGTCGCTCAGGCCTTCATCCGAGACCAGCTGTACCGCTGCTAACTGTGCGCCGCCGCCCTCGATCCCTAGTCACGCCTCCTATCGTCGATCGCGAATATTATTATCGTCTCCTTTCTCGTCTATTTTAAATCATTAATTGATCCTTAGTCACCCCATTGCCTCGGTATTCCTTCTTAGCTCTAGGGGAGCCGATTGGTGACGACTAACCCGAAGGTGTCGGGGCCGTGTTAGGTTGATGCCGTTCACTTCCGCAGGCAGCTCATGGTTTAGTCGTTCGCTGTCTAGAATATAATCCGAAATGGGTTCGTGTGTAAGCTCAGAGCAGGGTGACCCTGAGCAAAAGAAGAGGAGCCAGGCCATCGATCGCAAGCTGGAGGAGGATTCCAGGCGATTACGGCGAGAGTGCAAGATTCTACTGCTTGGTACGTTCGGGGTGTTCTTTTTTAGCATGGCGTTCCTTTTCGTGTCTGACTGCGATGTTTTTCCTGAACCAGGGTCCGGAGAAAGTGGGAAGTCGACGATTGTCAAACAAATGAAGATCATTCATCAAAATGGCTACACAGTGGAAGAGCTGGCGTTGTATCGCCTGACGGTCTGCAAGAATCTCCTAGATTGCGCCAAGTCCCTTGTAGGAGCCTATCACCAGTTCTCCCTCGAGCCCTCGAGCCAAAAAGTCCGTGACTACGTACAATACATTTCAGACTACAATATCGACCCCGACCCACACACAACGTTGGATGTGAAGGTAGGGGAGGCAATAACGTATATCTGGAATGATCCGTGCACATCCACAGTATTGGAACACCAGAACGAGTTCTACTTGATGGACTCTGCTCCATAGTAAGCTCTATCACTTCCTAGGTTGTACGGAAATAAGATGCACTGACAGCACCCCGCTAGCTTTTTTGAGGAAGCAAAGCGAATCGCATCTGCAGATTTCATACCCAACGTAAATGATGTGCTTCGCGCCCGAACGAAGACTACCGGTATCTATGAAACTAGGTTTACGATGGGCCAGCTGAGCATACAGTATGAGAACCCACCCTGTCTATACCTGGGACGTCGCTTACACGTTGTACAGCATGTTTGATGTGGGTGGCCAGCGCAGCGAGCGAAAGAAGTGGATCCATTGTTTCGAGAATGTCACCTCCATCATATTCTGTGTGGCATTGAGCGAGTACGACCAAGTGCTTTTGGAAGAGAGTAATCAGGTAAGCGTTGTCGCATATCAATCGCCAGGCTTGCTACTGACCTTGTTGCAAAGAATCGAATGATGGAGAGTCTGGTGTTGTTCGATTCTGTAGTTAACTCTCGATGGTTCATGCG